TATATATATATATATATATATATATATATATATATATATATATATATATATATAATTCCCTGGTTCAGTGTGCATTGCGACGCTGATTATGAAAACAGTTTAAATCTCAGCATCGTTTTGTGGTATTGAGTTGTAAAGGAAACGGTCAAATATGCACCCATTTGGTGTTTCCAAGTACAAAATCAACTGATTGAAGCATCAATTTCCTTCGATTCCGAAATCGAGTTCACCCTAGAGCACAATGGACATTAGACTAGTAACAGTGATGGCAAGTTCTGTCCTCCACTGCGCATCCGGAACCGGCCAGCTTGGAACGGATCACTGTTAGTGCTGTATGGACTACTATTTTTTTAAATTCAGAAGTCGGTGCTGGTCGAGGATCGTTGTTTTTTGAGGATTTTAGATGGAACATCACCAATTTGGCATGCATGACACAAAAATCTAATCAAAAACATACAATCGCGCTTCCTGACCACACGACGGATGATGAATGCAGAAGTTGATATTTCTTCTTCGAGACCCAGCAAATTGCCCTCAGTGATCTTGTTGATTTTTGATCGTTGAAAGTAATCACCAACTATGTTACCAGCTACTCACAGGTGAGTAGTATCTCACGACACTCCTTCGCCCAGCGAAATGGATCTCTGCATACCTTGACCAGTAAACGACTGTTTCTTAGATTGTGATCGCGTTTATCGCCGGTTTTCAACGTCGGGTCGCGTCATACGTGACCTGGTGTATAATGGGATTCCAGAGTTTCCTTTGTTGGTTTACGTCGTGTGCTGTACATTTCTTCGTGCCATGTTACAAGATCGTTCCGATGTACACGACGGACTTCGTTCGTCCGTTGAATTTTGTACACGGGATGACGTTCTTCAAATATGCGGTATGGACTTTTTCATCTGGGAATTTACTTCCTCGAGCCAGGGCTACTGGAGAATCCCCCAACACGCTGCTCATACTTTACTTTAGATCCAACCGGAAGCACACTGGCCGTCCGTCTTGTTTGTATCCTTGACTTGCGAATTTTTTCCTCCTGCACCTTCTTCAGGTTATTCTGGACTTTACATCTGGCCTGTTGAAGTTGTTCCGGAGATAAACCATTTCGCGACCAAATGCCAACGTTGGATCCCCTGGCAGCTTCGGAATCCGTCCATGCATCAGTTGAAATGGTGTATGTTTGGTACTGGCCTGCGTGGTCGAGCGGTACGCCAAAAGTAGGGAAGGTAGTGCCAACTCCCAATCCTCTCCTTTCGCTGCCAGCCATTCTTTGATTTTTCTGTTATTTCGTTCCGTGAGGCCGTTGGTTTGTCGGTGATAGCGCGTTGTGCGTACTTTTTTGATGCCTAGTTTCTGTAAGCACGTGCGGAATTCATCTCTCTCAAAGCACGGGCCTTGATCCGTAAGGATTGCTTGGGGTACACCGTGATTCGCCACGATATGCTCCATCACAACTCTGCTTATCGTAGCGGCCTTTTGATCTGCGACTCCTACGGCTTCAATTCGGCGCGTGAAGTGCTCCTTCATTACAACGATGTATTGATGTCCTCTAGGGAACATCGGAAACGAAACCTTGAGGTCAATGGACCATAGCTTGCCGATCTCCGATACTGGTATTGACTGAATTGGGCATTGTGATGGGCGGGAGTTTGACTTGAAAAGTATGCACACGCCAGCACCTCGTTTGTCACATCAGCCTGCATATTTAGCCAATATATCCGCTGACGAAGCAGATCGTAGGTTCGAGCGCATCCAGTGTGTGTGCCAGTTCGTGATATTCCTCGATAAGGATTTGGCGCGGCTGTTTCGGAATGACCGCCACAGGGCAGCTTCTTCCTGGTTGTCGTTTCATTAGGATACCAGCGGCATTCAAGTGAAGCTGCTTCCATACGGATTTCCATGACTTCATGTGTGTACTATATTGCACGTTTCGATATTGCTGGCCTTGTGAAATTGCTTCGATTACCTTGTGGAGTTCTTGGCCCTTGTGCGGTTCTTTCACCAATTCGTGCGTGTCTTGTCCCGCCGTCAGCATACTGACACTAAAGGAATCTGCTTCCTCCTCACGAGACAAAATAGCCGTCATACAGTTTTCGGCATCGGCAACATGATTGATCGTGAAGTCGTACTCCTGCAGCTGAAGCGCCCATTGGGCTAGTTTTCCTCTCGGGTCCTTGGCGGTTTTAATCCACTCCAGCGGCTTGTGGTCCGTTTCTATATGGAACGTTTAACCCAGAAGGTATGGTGGCCACTTATCTACAACCCAACCGATTGTAAGACATTCGTTTTTTGTGGTGGAATATAGCGGGGAAACGATCATTTTGATGAAATAAATTTGAGTGGTTCATGAGATGTGCACACATTTGGACGTGTTTTTAGTCAGGACTACAATGTTCTAGATACTGTAGGCACATAACATCTAAGACCGACCTCGTCAAGATGACCTATGCAGTAGGAGAAATATCAGGAAAACGAAGAATTAAACCAAATGTGAAATGACAGATAGAGAAATTCTCCAGTGCCACGAAAAAGCTGAGGTGAGTGAACAAAGAGAGAGTTATATTCCGTATTGTCTTTTGACGTAAGCAATATGATCATTGTCAGGGGAGTGGGCGGCATATTCCGGTAAAACGGCTTTGTTCTCGTACAGAAAACCAAGCAGATGCACATATATGCCAAGTTCCCGATCGAAGATTAAGTATTGCAATTATCGATCATGATCCAAACCATTTTACACTGCTTAAGTTGTCCATGGTCACCTCCGTCGATTGGCTTCTTTGTGGTTTTAGTCTAGCGGGACACTGATTACGTTAGCGATTCCCACGAGTTCCCCTGGCTGATATACAAGACGTGATCCATATTCATCTTCGCATTTCAGTTCCCTTGACAAAAACAAGATCCAGCTAATTGAAACGCAACCGTGTTCGTCTCGTAATAGTAGTTGTGTTGTGAAAAATAGTAAATTCGCTGAAACTAGTGCGTTGCGTGACCATAGTTCAAAACTGCCCGTGATGTTACAGAAGTTCTGGTTATAATAACTGGTTCATCTTAATACTAATTATGCATTGACAAAACACCACTATCGTGAAGTCTATCCTCAACATGTTTAGTGGAGATATTTAGTTGGATGATTAAACAATATTGAACAATTTCCATGAGAAAGTGGCGCCGAAGAGTAGTGTGCTCTGATCCTCGCGTACTTGAATCTGCTCTCATTAATTCTATGTGGGGACAGAATGCTGCCGACAATAATTTTCATAAGACCAGGCGTCTAATTCGATCAACACTGAACCCCGTAATGTGTCTACTGTCGAAATTCTGAGTCACAGAGTCTGGGATATTGCTGCATGAATTATTCCACTAGCGACTATCGAGCAGAATATCTTTTTGGTCGAGGATTCCCGCATGCGAAGAAATAAACTGAAAATCACCAAATTGAGTAGTTGAACAGTGGATCGGCAAAATGCATTGCAAGCAGAAAGCGGGGATGGAGAAAACCAGTTACCATTTCAATCGGAAAATCACGTGATGACAATGAACAAAGTATGCAATTGAACAAGAAAGGTGAGTGACTGGTTGGAGTATAGTAAGAGTGAATAACGTGGAATAACTCACACACGTACAACTTGTGACAATAGTGATCATGAAGGTGGAGTGGGATACAACTGCTAACGTGAGCCGACTGTCCGGCCCCATGGTGTAGCGGTTATCACTCTGGACTCTGAATCCAGCGACCCGAGTTCGAGTCTCGGTGGGGCCTGTTCACATCAGTTTTACAATATCATTCATAGGTGCCCGCAGTACGAAATACTGGTTCACGAAATCGAATTCATCAACTTTCCCGCACCAGATGATTGGGTGAATTGCACATTCTCGCGATGTTGACACACGAGGACCTATCCCTGTGGTGCGCCAGTTACTGTTACGCACATTTTGATATTTTGAGCATTTTTGCATGATTTTCGCACAATCTACTCACAATCGATCTTCGGGGTACCGACCTACAGACAGATACCAGCAAGTCTCACGAGCGATAGTGTAGAAATTATTTTTTGTGATTCTATGCTCCTTGTTGTGGATTTACGACCCATTATGACTCCTACCACTAGTGTCCGGATGTCCCCATGTGTCATTTGCAACAAAAGAGTGGGTCCTGGCACAAAAGCCCTACAGTGCGACGGTTGTGGTCACTGGCTGCACCTAGGTTGTACTAAGGTCAGCCCCAAACTGTATGATTTACTGAGTTCATGTAAAGCAGATGTTCTCAAAGTGGTTTGTGACGAATGTGCCATACTATTTAATTCGGTGGCTCCAGTGCGTGTGGAAAACCGTCCGTCGATTTCCGGATCACGTATCATCACTCCATCGACCATGGCATCATCGCAAGAGAATTGTCCACCTTCTGACATCCAGCAGTTGATTAGCCCATTAACTTATGCGGATACTGTTGTTCGTTCACTTTGTCCTATGATCACACGTAGCAAGCGGTTCAGAGCATCCTTTTCGTGCGAGGTACAAAAACCCGGGCCCTCAGTGATGGTGTCCACCTCTCCCCGGCTACTCGTCACAAGATACGCAAAATCTTTCAGATTACCGGGGAATCTAGTGGAGCTCGGACAGCGGACACGTTGGTGACAGCCACATCTTCCTCTTCTTCTTCTTCTTCTTCTTCTTCGATAAATGGCATTACAGTAAACTGTACGAGTATACCATCCAGGGCCCAGTACATTATTGTGTTTAACTTACCGGAGTCAATGGAGAGCTCTGCACAGTCACGCCTTGACCATGACTTGCTACTTTTACGTGGCTGCCTGCACAAGATGTTCGATGGCACTGAGGCGGTGTTAACGAATTCCATCAGGGTGAAATCCGCCTTCCGACTAGGTCGACCGTCGACAACCGGTAATCCCCGACCTCTGAAGGTGGTATTTGGTAATGCCGAGGACGTTCGTCTCATCCTTCAGCGTGTATCGCGCCTGAAATGGGAAAATATCAGGTTGCTGCGTGATCTTGCGCCAGAGGAGCGGATTCAAATAAAAACAGTACTGACGGAGCTGCACGCCAGGTGGATTAATGGCGAGTGTGACCTCGTGATCAGACATTTTCGGGTGGTGAGGAAGAAGATGCGGATCCGCTGGCTTTCACTTGTTTCACTTGCCGCCCTCGGCGACAGGGCCGCAGTAGTCGTATCACCAAGCCCTGACCGCGTGGTTCCCTTCTTGTTCTCAAATGTGAGGAGGATGCTAAATAGGCGGGATGAATTGAAAGTATGGGTTGCCGATCATGCCCCAGTGATGATAGCCTTAACAGAGACGTGGTTTCATCACGAGATATCCGACGCGGAAATTTCGCTCTCAGGATACAGCATGTTTCGTACAGACAGGTCAGTCTCGAGATCCGGTGGTGGGGTAGTCCTGTACATCAGAGAAGATTGTCCTGCAGTTCACCTTCAATTGATCGCTGATCCTGAAGGGCACGCTGAGGCATTGTGTTGCAAAGTGAAGGTGGGGCGGGCGAGGTACTTAACAGTCGGATTGTTATACAGAACCCAGTCAGCCAATGTTGAGGACGTTCTGCACAGCATCCGTCGGTGGACCGCAGGTGGACGTTGTGTGCTTCTGGGCAATTCAACGCTCCCAATATCAACTGGGAGGCCGGAGTTTGTGGTGACCGTGATGGTACGTTTGAGTAGCAGCTGTATGAACTGTTAGAATCCCTCTGATTATATCAGCATATTCGGGATCCCACTGGCATCCAAAGTAGTTCGGCATCGGTGTCAGACCCTGTCATATCACCGAGACGTTCTGACGTGGTCGACATAGTTCGTTTGGATCCTTTCGGATCAAGCGATCATGTGGCTATTATACTTTATTGGCGCACAAACTTTCATATCGTGAAAGATGCTCAGGAGCGTCCCAATGTGTGAAAGATACAATACGAGGAACTGCGAGCGGCTGCTCAGTGTCTCCAGTGGCCAACAAATGGGCTCAGTTCAAGAACAACATCATCAACCTAGTCAGCATGTTCGCTCCACCCAGGGTAGTACGGACGTATGCTAAAGGCCCCCCATGGTTCGACCGTAAACTCCGGAACCTTCTGTGCAGACGCAACAGGGCTTATGAATTCTTTCAGTAAACCGGTAGAGGGTACGACCACTACAAAGATATCCGCAACCAGTGTACTTCAGCCAAACGCTGGAAATGGGCGGCCTTCGAGGACAGCTTAGCAGCGCCCGCTGCTACCGCGCCTAAGAGGCTATTCGCTTATCTGAGACGAAGAACCAGAGTTCTTACCACCCTACCATCACTCTTGGACCAAGGTATGCTAAAGAATGATCCAGATGAACAGGCTTATATACTAGCACGGCATTACGCATCGGTGTATGAGTCAGAGGAGCCCTTGCCTGAAGGTCTGCACACTCAAGATTCTAACTCACCCGTTTTGATTGTCCCGGAGTTCAACCCACGTGAACTGCAGGTCTCCCTGGAGAACCTGAACACCAACCAATCCCCTGGTCCTGATGGACTGCATCCGAAGGTGTTAAAAGAGCTCGCGGTTCTGATATCTACCCCCCCCCCCGTCTTGTGCTCTGTTCAATTGCCCCCCAAAATATGGTCGGCTTCCAGAGGATTGGAGTAGTGCAGTGATATCGCCTCTGTTTAAGAGTGGTTCAAAGGCAGATTCGGCGAATTACCGTCATATCAGTCTGACTTGCATCTCTTGCAAACTGATGGAGCGCTTGATCTCTAGCAGATTGCATCACCATATGACGGAGTGTCAAGTGCTGTGCCACCAACAGCATGGTTTTCGCCCGATGAGATCCTGCACATCAAACCTTCTTCTGGCCAGGGAGGAATGGTGTGCCGCCAAAGCCAGTGCGTCTGTTACGGACATTGTCTATGTCGACTTCAGCAAAGCCTTCGACAAGGTTCCACGCGACAGACTGCTTTTGAAGCTGAGAAGCTTCGAAGTGGTAAACTCAATACTCACTTGGGTGGAGGACTTTCTGGAGAGACGACGTTTTGCGGTGAGGATCCGTGATTCAATATCCACTGTGCATCCAGTTCTCAGTAAAGTCCCGCAAGGTTCAGTTCTGGGCCCCGTACTGTTCCTTTTGTACATCAATGATCTTACCAATCGGCTACGTTCGCCATGCCTCGTCTATGCAGACGATCTGAAACTATGGAGACCACTTCAGTCACCACTAGACGCGTTAACTCTACAAGCTGATTTGGATAGTCTATCACAGCGGGTGAAGGAGTGGGCGCTCCCCATCAACATCGGGAATTGTGTACATATAAGAATCGGTCGCTGTGACCTCATACCGGTCTACACACTAAATGATGTTCTCCTTAGGAGCAGTGACCACGAGAGGGACTTGGGGGGGATCATCGATCGCATCGTCCCTCAAGACCAGATTTCACACAGATAAAGTATGTTTTTCTGCCTGGGGTAACCTTGGAGCAATTCGCCGATCGTTGGGCCGCTGTCGGAACAGGCCTTTAAACTTCTGTACACCACGGCAATCCGTCCTCGTCTGGAGTATGGGGGAGCCACGGCTTTTCTCATAACAAAGGGAGAGATGGCGAAAATCGAACGTGTACAGAGAGCAGCTACCCGGCTTGTTGCGGGTCGACGGGCACAAACTTACGAACAACGACTCGTCAGCACGGAGCTATACATGGAGAGTTACAGACGTATTCCTGAGGACATCCTGCTGACTAGAAAGTGTATCCATGGTGAATTGGGGGAGCGGTGGCAAGAAAAGTTTCCACTGCGCAAGGATGCACGCACCCGCGGTCACGGTCTCACGCTTCGGAAACAGGAATCATTTGGATTACCATCAGTGTACCGTCTCTCCAGGAGAGTGGTCAATATTTGGAATGCTCTCCCGGCGGGTGTGGTGGAAGAGGACAATGATGAGAAATTCAAACAGCGTCGTGATGACTTCCTATTCATGAGGCGACAAGCTGATGGGTAGCTCGTCCGGATCCGGAGGAGAGAAGGCTCCTACGGGAGGAGTCCCGATTGCCTTTCATTCCAGAAGGTGAAGGTGACCCGCCATAGTGATCATAAATTGGTTTACTTTAAGTCCAGGCTGACAGTATAT